GGATAACAATAATAATAATAATAATAATAATAATAATAATAATAATAATAGAATCCAAATTCCTTTTATTCTTATGAGGTTCCTCTCTGCAACATCTTTTTTTTTTTTTTTTTTTTCCCCCTAACTGGAACTGTCCCTTCATTCTTATTTCTTTCATTCAGTTTTTCTGGTTTAGTAAGAGCATCTATCCTTACTAGATTGTCTCTCCACTTTCCAAGGAATGGCCACACCTACTCTGACTCTACTGAAATTTATTTTTCTTTTTGACTGGTTACTCCACCCACTAGAACCCTGCATGGTGCAAATCGTTAAGGTAATTGGCTGCTAACTGAAAGTCCACACAGAGATACCTCAGAGCAAAGGTCTGGTGACTTACTTCCAAAATATTAGCCACTAAAAACTCTATGGAACACAGCTCTACTCTGATGCATGTGTGGTCGCCAGGAGTTGGAATTGACTTGATGACAACTGGTAGGAATTCCTAGGTATTCATAGGCATTTCCCAGCCAAATCTCATCCCTTTGCCTTTAACACTTATCTTATATGAGCCTTACAATTTTAATGTTTCTGCATCCCCAGCATCAGAACAGTGCCAAATACATAGAAAATTACTCCATACATATTTTGTGAGTACCTAAAATAATGAAGAGAGGAACCTGGACATGAGATGGCAATGGACCTAGATTGAGTGGTCCTGGTCTACCTAGAATTGTGCATACACTGTGTCAGGCTGTCTTTGGTGAAAGACCTGCTGGTTTAACTGGACAGCAAGCCATGTTTATTGATTTCAGCCTGAGACTGAGGTTCTAAAATTCTTTATATTTCTAGATACTAACAGTTAATCATGTGTGCTTGTTGGAGAGCAGGCAGAGATGCTGCTATCCAAGCTGGAAACACCTCCACAAAGTTATTTCCCTTCGATAACTTTGAAAGTCACTTAGCAGCATAATAAGGGTGCAATTTTCTCTGGAAGAAAATCATGTGATAGAGGAAGTGTCGCTAATATGCCCAATTGCTCAGCAATTTAAATCGGAGACTCTCAAAACATTTTACCTATGCTAATGGATCTTCACAATGCTTAAGTGGGCTTATCTCTATTTCAAAAAATCAGAAAAACTGAAGAAAAACATTTTTGAGATTCTAAAGATGCAGTTATGTCATTATTGTTGTTAGTTGCCATTGAGGTAATTCCGACTCATGGTGACACTACTTGTGTAGAGAACTGCTCTATTGGGTTTTCAAGTTGTGACCTTTTGGAAGCAGATCACTGGGCTTTTCTCCCAAGGCTTCTCTGGATGGGTTTGAACCCCCAACCTTTTGGTTAGTAGTTGAATTCTTAACTGTTTGTGCCACCCAGGGACTCATGAAATACTACAGTATTAGAACTCAGAAATTTCTGATTTGGGAGACAGAGAAAGGGGAGGGGGGAGAGAGAGAGAAAGAGAGAGAGAGAGAGAGAGAGAGAGAAAGTAGTAAGGGGAGAGAGGCATGTTGATGCAAAACAAAAACAAGGTATCTCCCATTCATTTCTGTGTTTCTCATCTTTCTTTCACCTTTTATGCAGAACAGACCAATGGCTGAGCTAGCTGCTGCCTGGCGGATGGTAGGCAGGGTGTCACAGGAGTGTGGAGCCAGAAGCCCAAGGAGAGAGCCGATTTTAAAGTTCTCTGGAGCCTGCAGGAGAAAGGAGGCACCCAAGTGGGAGACGGTGGCTTGATGTCATCCCATGATATATCCAATGTCAGATATTAAGTCTCTTATTTTGTCCCTATAGGTTCTTACATTGAAAAGAAATTTTGAACTATCCTCTAAAAAGGCCTGAATCCTTCAGGGCAATGGAAAAGTAAGTAAGCAAGACAGCAAAGAGAAACAAATGGTTTAATTCTGGTGCATGTGCCCACTTGAGTTAGGAGACTTCTCTTGGGAGTCTTCTGGAAAGGGCTCCTTCAAGGATAGGAGCACTGTCTTGCAGAAGGAGTTTGGACTTTCCAGAGGCCTCAGAGAATCAGGTCGCTGCAATGGAATTTCCTTATTCTAGGGGGTTGCTTGGGAGCTCTGGCAGCATAGTGGCTAAGGCACTTGACTGCTAACCAGAAGGCTGGCGGTTCAAATCCACCAGCCACTCCTCGGAAGGAAGATGGGGCAATCCTACTTCCGTAATGATACTGCCTCAGAAACCCAAGGAGGGTTCGTTATGAGTCGGGTCTGACTCGACGGCACATAACAACAACAACAACAACAACAGGGGATTGCTTACCTCAACATCACTTGCCAACACCTTCGCTGTAATTTGAAAGGCTCTTTCTCTTTCCCACTCTTTTTGTGAAACAAGCCACATTCGGAGAAGCTGTTGGTCAAAGAATAAACATCCTTTCTTTGGTATTCTTTATATTCCTTCATTTTAATTCTCTTTCTCTCTCTCACACACACACACACTTTTGCCAGGGTGCTCACTGCCCAACAAACAGTGTTTAAGTGGACTGGCCCTCTGTTGTGGGTTAAGTGGGGCAGGCTAGACATCCTCCTGGGAAGAGGATGAGGTTGCGTTTGAGGGACACATTGGAGAACAGAGTAGGGCATATGAGAACCCATTTGAGGGGTGGCACTTCTCACATTAAACATTTCTTGGCATTCCTCTTCAGTCACATTATCCCATATCATGGTCTTCAGAAGCTTGCCCAGAGCATCCATGGATCTTTCATAGAGAAACTGAAAGCAGATGTGAAGGTGTGAGGCTTAAGCTGCGGTGAGAGAGTCAATTCCAACCATAGTATTGGTGTTGCTCAGGCCTCACTCCCACCTACTTTAATGTGTTCCTTGTCCATGTCGGTCTGACCCTCATTTCTGAGTTTTTCCAGAGGTGGAAGGGGCAGCAGCCTCCTAATATTCTCTTCAAGAATATTGAGATTGTCTTTCAGTGAAAGCTGAGGTTTCAGTTTACTGAAATGAGAACGATGTGGGGGAGTGGATGTTATGATGACATATGAAACATTACTGTTTGATTACCTCTAGGGACACTCTCACAGAAATATACCACAAATAGGATAGCTTGAACAAACAGAAGTCTATTCTCTCACAGTTCAGATCTTTGTCTGAGTTCAAAGTGCCAGGCTCTAGGGGCTGAGTGAAAGCCCCTCAATCTTAGGCTTCAGCTCTGCCTCCTGCTCCCAGACCACTGAAACTGGAGGCTTTTCTTCACTCGGGCATCTGCTGGCTACTGAGGATGACAAACCCAAAGTCGACAAGTACAAAGGCACAGTCCCAATGTTACCAAACAACATGGCAGGCCACTAATTCAAGTCCAGAAGTCCCAAGATCTGCAGGGCATGGTAGGCTGCTGAACAACTTCTTGGCTACATGCAGGATTCAAGTGTGCCAAAAAACTGGAGACCTTCCTCAAAGCTGCTTCTTATATACTGGAAGCAGACCACATCTCTAAAGCAGCTACTCAGCTGCTCCGCTAGATTCCACCATGGAGTTGATTGCCAATCTCACCATGGGGAATAACTACCTCCAGTTGTGCAGCCACTCAACCAGGCCCAGACAAGTTGACAACAACCTTCACTTCCACAATAACTGAGTAGAGAGCCCAACAACTGCCAGTCGATCAGGAAAGGTGCATTTTTTGATACATTTCTGGTGTGTTGGGATGTTGAGGGGAATTTTGGGGATATAAGATCAAACTGCATTAGTGGGCAGAGTCAATATGCCTCTGATCTTATTTATTAGACCTCAAATCTGCCATTGAGTTGATTCAGAATCATAGCTACCCTATAGGACAGAGTCTAATTGTCTTCTTCCCTTCCTCTCTCCCTCCTTCCTCTCCCTCTTCCATCTTTCCTTCCCTCCCTCCCTTTGTCCTTTCTTTCTTTCTTGACAT